AGATCAATAGTATGAAATAAAATCCACCACTCAATAGAAAAATGTGCAAAAGACTTGGAATAGATACTTCACAAAAAAGGATATCCAAATAGCCCTCAAAAATATGAAAAAAGCTCAATTTAATTATTTATCATACAAGTGTCATATTAAACAACTATCATTGGACAACATCTTATACTTGCTAGGGTGACCAAAATCAAAAGAGAAAACACAATTGTTAGTGAAAATGTGGATCATGTGGAATTCTCCTTTATGCTGGTTGGAGCATAAACTGATGCAGCCACTTTTGAAAATAGGCCATATCTATTAACCCTAACCATACACATACTCTGTGATATGGTTTGACTGTGTCCCCCAAGGATTTGTGATTTGGAAGCCTGGTCCTCAGCGTGATGATTTTAAGAGGTAGTGGAACCTTTAAGGGGTGTGAAGCATTGGGATGTCCCCTTAGAAAGGATCCACATAGTTCTCCTGGGACCCTAGCTAGTCTTCAGACATACTCTAGCTTCCTGTCTCACTGTGTGAGCTGTCTTGTATACCAGGACATCTTTAACAGGGCCAAGCTGATGCTGGCACCATGCCCCTAAACCTCCACTACTGTGAGTTAAATCAACTTCTTTACTCTATAAAGTTTTCCAGACTTGTGTATTTTGTTATAATAATTGATAGTATACTAAAATACCCTATAACTAAGGAATTCTATCACTTGGTATATCACCAGGAGAAATGTGTGCTACAGTGGTTTACCAACTCTTATTTTTGAAGCCCCAGTGGTGCTGAGTTGGTTTAGAAGAAACAAAAATTATTATCAAAATTGAATAGATAAATAAATTGTATATTCATACATTGAAATATCATATAGCAGTGAGACCAAGCAAAACTAAAATTAAAACAACATAGATAAATCTTACAAAGTTGGTGTTTGACAAAAGAAGCCAAATGTAAAAAATCCACACATAGAATTCAACTATATAAAGTTCAAAAACATACAAAACTAATCTATATAAGTCAGAGGGTGGGGGATGTAGCTCAGTGGTGCCATGCCTGCCCAGCAAGTGCAAGGTCCTGAGTTCCATTCCTAGTACTGGAAAAGTTAGAATACCACTGTAATCTTAGAAAGAGGATCCTACTAACAGAAATACCATGAGGGTGGTTGTGGGTGCTAAAGTACTGTATTCTGTTTTGATCTGGTTTGCTGATTACATGGGTTTGTACACTTTTTCAGAGGCTCTTCAAACTGTATCTTTATGCTAACTGCATATTCCTATGTGTAATTTTCAATTACAATTTTTTAAAAAGTCAGCATCTATAACATGAAAGTGAATTTAGGACTGAAAAGAATAGAACCCAGGCAGGTAACTTGTCCCTATTGGGTACCTAGAGAACGGTATAGCTCTAGGATGCCAGCAAGCAAAACCTCGAAAATCCAATTATCTAGATTAACAACATGCTGTATTTATGTTTGTCCATGTCCTAGCCTCTGGAAAAACCTTGTTTGAATGCTCCATGAATTGGACTGTGATGACTTTAGGAAAGTGTCATTTGTCCACACCAGGGCAAGAACATTAAAGACCATTACTTATATGTTGTAAACATAAATAATAATAAGAACAATTTAAAAAACTGTTATTTGAAAGGGAAGGGGACATAAAAACATTAAGATGTGTTATGTACATGTACCAATGCCCCACAAGGAATGTAATCATTATGTACTGCAAACATGTACTAATAAAAATAAAAATTATAAAAATAAAGACTTACTTGCCTAAGGCTAGTATAGTGATTGCTGTCACAACATAAAATAAATCTTCAAATCCAGGTCCACATGGTCCTATCCTCCTGTTAGTACCAGTCTTTAAAACTACATTTCCCAGCTTCCTTTGCAATAAGGTATGACCATGTGACTGAGTTCTAGCCAATAGAACTAGTAGAAGTGTATTCAGCATGGACATAGTTTAGCAAAATCTCCCTTCTATGTCCCTCCTTTTTTTGTTGTTTTATTATCTATCTGTACAACACAGAGACAAGCAACATGTACTATATATGTACCAATTCCCTCAGGCTGGCCTCAAACTTGAGGCAGTCCTCCTGTCTCAGGGATTTCAGGTATGTCACCAAGCCCAGCTGGTTATGTCCCCCAGAAAGCTCGTGTGTTAAAGGTTTGATTCCCCAATGTAATAGTGTTCAGAGATGAGGCCTAGAGAAGTTAGATAAAAACACTAACTTCATCAATTAATCTGATTGAGCTATTGATGAGTTCATAGTCTAATAGGGTATTATGAGGTGGACCCCAGTTGGAGGTGGTAAGGTCACTGGCGGGCACCTTTAAAAAGTGTATCTTGACCACTATGGAAATCAGTACAGAGATACCTCAAAGAACTAGGACTGGGAGTCCCATTTGACCCAGCTATTCCCCTGCTGGGTATCTTCCCAAAAGAACTAAAAGAATCATACCACAGTGATATATGTGCACCCATGTTCATAGCAGCACAATTTGTAATAGCTAGAACTTGGAAGCAGCCCCATCGACTGGAGACTGGATAAAATGTGTATGTTTTTTATAAAATGGAGTACTACTTAGCCACGAAAAATGAGAAATTAGAGACCTTTATAGCTAAATGGATGCACATTGAGGCAATGCTCTTAAGTGAAATAGGACACATACATGCAAACACTGAATAGTTTCTCTAGTGTGAGAAACTGAAAGTGTAAATAAGGACTAAAAGGTATACTAGATTATGTGAAATAGGAAGAAAAGGGGCAAAGGGGAAGGGGAAGTGGGAGGGGTAGGGGAAAGGAAAGAAGGGAATGGAATTAATATGAGAAAATGAAAAAATGGAAACAAAGTCTTTGTAAATAGGGAGGGATGGAGGGGTTGAAGGGAGGGCAGGGGAAGGGGGAAAAATAAGAACCAAGAGAGATTATGTAAAGGTGCAAATTTCCAATAATGAATGTCATTATATTGAATACCTAAAATGTACCAATAAAATTAATTTTTAAAAAAAGTGTATTTTGACTCTAGCCCCTTATTTTCACTCTCTCTGCTTGCTGGGTGCCATACACAAGCAACTTTACTTTGCCATGCCCTTCCACCATGATGTGTCTGTTTTATCAAGGCCTAAAATCAATGGAACCAACAAGCCATTACTGAAACCTCTAAAACATGAAGCCAAAATAACTTTCCTCCTTTAAGATTTTCCTCAGATATTTTGTCACAGAGATGGAAAGCTAACACACACACATTTCAACCCAAACATGTACAATACTGATCACCATATCCCCCAACCCTACCTCATTTTTTGTTTAAAGTTTCACATACAAACCTTACCTATCTCTCTAGATCCTCCAGATTCCTGCCAGTCACTAGAATCCAACTTTACTTCCAAAATATTAAATCAATATGCCTCATTCCCTATATCTTTATTGTATTTCAGGTCCACACTATTTCTCTTCTGACCTATTGCAATATTTTGTGATACATTTGTTATACATACATTGAAGTCCTTACTCTCAGTATCTCAGAGTATAAACTTAAATGGCAATTTGGTCATTGCAGATTTAATGTTAAGATGAAGTCATACTGGAGTAAGGTGGACCCACTTTAGCAGGTATCCTTAAAAAATGGGAAATTTGAATGTAGATATGCAAAGCCACCCAAAGACTAAAGTTCTATTGCCACAAGCCAGAGAACTACCCAAAGCTAGAAGAAGTCCTAGAAAATTCCTTCCTTATACCTTCAAAGGAAGCATGGATGGCTCTGCCAACACCTTGATCTCCAACTTCTGTCTTCCCGAACTGTGAGGCAATGAATTTTTATGGTTTCAGCTACCCAGCTGTGGTACTTTGTTGCAGACACCCTAAAAAAATACAAGCTTCCTTTCCTACCTTATTTGCCTCCAGTTTTTCCTCCAATGTTTCTCTGTAGACTTGTGAACTATCTGAAAGGTTCCTATGAACTTGCCAGTCCCCAAATGAAAAGCCATTCAATTACCCTCTCCACCCATGTTTATAGATTATATTCCAGGCTTTTGAGATCATTTACAAGGCTCTTGTCTAACTCAATTCCTATTTTCCTCTCTAGCAGTGATTAATTACTGTGTTCTATCTAAACACACGATGCTATTTCAAGATGTTGACTTTTGGCCATTTCCCCAACAATAATGCCCACTCACACTCCTCTCTATGTTCCTCATCCTTTGCATCCAAAATTCACAGCAGACATTCCTTCTACCAGGAAATTTCCCCTATTTTCCCACTTTCATCTTGCACCAGTAGCAGCAGCCTCCTGGATGGGGGTAAGTGACCTTTCTCTAATTCCTACATACTAGACTCATACTAGTGCCTCCGTTATAAATTCATGATCTCTGCATCTGTTTGCCCCACTAAATTGTGCATTCTTAGTCTTTCTATAATTGTGCATGCGCACACATACATAGACCGTGTTAAAATAAGTTCAATTCTCCAAGGAGTTGATAGGGGGCACTAACAGAAGGTAGGTTTCTATGATGCGGAATGAATTATGGAGAGGCTGGTATTACTATCCCAAATCAGGAGGCTCATTAGCTCCAAAGTTTCTTTCATTGTTCATGATATACCCAAGAAGCCAGAATGAGGATTTAGGGAAGCACAAAAGCAAACTTCCCTTGCCCCTCCCTCTAAGCCCCACCATAATCCCTTGGAAAGAATGCTCCACGGCCCACTCTAACAAGTCATCCCATAAGAAGTGGCATGGTGCCCTCCATCTAATACACTGAATGCCGTGGGAGCTCCAAAGTCATGCAGCCCTTTTGTGGGAGAGGGTTGGGGCTGGGCAGGAGGCGTGCAGAATGAAGAAATACATTCAACATTAGTGCCTGGATTCACTGAGATGCTTCCCACGACAGCTGCACTCTCTCTCCTCCTCCCATCCCAAAGCACTCAGGCTCTGGACTTTCCCCTCCCTCTCCTTTGAAAGCTCTGGGTACTTTCTCCAGACTTTTCTTACCCTTCAGATGTCCTACCTGGCTGGATCAGAAGCAGGTAGACAAAAGGAGTGAGGTTCAGGGCCCTGGAGGCTCTGGACAGGGCTCCCCTTTCTCTCTTCATTTTGGGTAGCGTTCTCCAGCTCTGGTGCAGACAATTAGCATGATTTCTCCACTCTGAGCACGTCCCTTTGTACCACTCGGAGTTTCTCTGCCCGAACATAACCCTGCCAACTTCCTTCTGAATACACAGAGCTCTGTGTATTGCTTGGCTTGTTCTTTCCTCTCTCTCTCTCTCTCTCTCTCTCTCTCTCTCCCCCCCTCGGACCTTGCATTTTCTAGTTTCCAAGCCTGACCTCCCCAGTTTGAACAGGGGTATCTGCTCAGGAGATAACCCCCACAGCAGGTTCCTTCTGGCGGGGATGGGGGCCCAGTGGTTCTTTGCTTGTCTGTGCTAAGCCTCACTCCCAGGGCAGATGAAGTTCTGAGCTCAGGGAGGCCACTGACTGGGCCACACACTCCTCCAGACCTTATGTCCCAAGCTAACCTATGTCCACCTCATATTTCTTCTCCCTGAGAAGGAGAGTCTGTGCCAGGATAGACTTCCAATTAGCTCTGAAAAAGGAGGGAGAGGAGCTTTTAAGAAGCTGGGAAGTGAGAGATTCCAGAGAGTTGCCGAAAAAATGGATAACTCCCTTACCACAAAGAAGACTGGGAAATGGCTTCAATTCTATTTCTTTCATCCTTCTTCCCATCCTGCTTGAGATCCTCTCCTACCATAGAATCACATAGATGCTGGGGAGCTCTTTCCACACTCTGTTCATTCGCCCACCTCCAATGTTGTACAACATGTCAGAGCAAAGATGAAGCTAATCCTCTAGCAGCCAGCATCCTGGGGTTCTATCACCAGTGTAACAGCCTAGGCTGTCATGGGGCTACACGCCCTAGCTCTACCCTGACCCCACTAATGTGACCACATCTGCCATGCAGAATGGCCATGGAACAGATGTTCGGTAACTGATTTTGGAACAGGCTCACAACTTGTTGGAGCCTCTTGTTTCACATCTGTAAAATGGGGAAAATAATAACCTCCTTGGAGGAACTGTTAGGAGGACTGATGAAGATTTGGTACAGGAGAATGTCTAGCATATTCCTTATTACAGAGATACCATTTAAACTTTCTTCCCCCTGCTACTGGGGATTGAAGCCAGGGCTTTCACACTGAGCTGCACACCCCTGCCTTTTGTTTGAGACAAGGTCTTGCTAAGTCACTAAATTGTCCAGGCTGGGCTGGAACTTGTGATCCTCTTTCCTCAGCCTCCCAGAGTGCTAAGATTTCAAAAAAGGTTTAACTCTTTCTTTTTAAACTGCCTTTTCTTCCTCCTTTTTCATTCACACAGGGATCACTATATGTTAGTGAGATCAAAGTTTACCACTCCACTCCTAGTTGCCTCTAACCCTGGTCTTAGTTTTGGGAATGCATCCCTCTACCTTTTCCCTTTATGTACCTGTCAAAGTCTGACTAGGTTAGGCTTGTGGTACTGAAGCATCTCATTCTTGAACCTGATGCTGTGGTTACTGTGGTCATCTCCTTAGCTTGGGAAGTTCTGTTGGGCAGAGATTGTAGTTCTTCATTCCGTCTCCTCACAGAGTTTGGGCTCCAATTTTGAGCTCTGTATAATGTGGCTGCTGTAACAATGGGGTGGACTTCCTGTCTGACTGATGGTACTAAGACCTTTGCTTCCTCAGAGCACTCCAGCAGATCCGCTTCTGGCAGCACAATGTCCTCTTCTGGGCCCCATAACCCAGTTCTTTTGGCCCCTGTGGTGCACACAGTTGCGCTAGGCTCCTCCTCCTTTGGCACCACCTCTGGGCTCTGAGATTCCAACTTCTCACCCCTGCACGCACAACAGAGTGCCTGCTGGTGCACCCTGCCAGGCCTGTCACACTCCAAGCTCTATGCAGAGCACCCAGAGGGCTTGCGGCTTTGATCCTCCACCCTCAATTAGCTGAAACTCAGGAATGTGTGTCTCTGAAGCAGGAGGAGGGCGGAAGGTAGTGATCTGAACTGAGTTACCGTCTTAAGCAGGCCTCTGTGGGAACTGGAAAAAACAAACTAAAAACCAGGGTGGGAATTGTAAAATCCAACTCTGTCAAGGTCTTGTAGGAAATTTTGGACACTCACCCTGCAATAAGAGATGGCCTTGTCCCATTTCTTTATTTCTCAGAGGAGAATGAGTAATTTTCCCAGAGTTAAAATGCTATCTTTAATGGACCCAGATCCTTAAGTTATTTAAAAACAAACAAGTAAAAGTTACAAAAGAAAAAAAATAAAATCATAGAAGCAAGAAAAGAAAAACCATACACACACACACACACCCCACTTTTGACTACACTTTGTTTTTTTTTGGTACCAGGGATTGAACTCGGGTCCTTGCACTTGCACAGCAGGTGGCGAAACCACTGAGCTAAATCCCTGGCCCATCACACACCAATTTTTAAAACTCTACCATTAGATATAAGGGTGCCCCTAAGCACTTGGCAGGTTCCTCTGTTTCCAGACTCTGGGAACAATGATAATATTACTAGAGGGGATTGGAATTATCCTTACTAACACCATCAATTCACTGGTGGTTTTATATTTAGTACTCTGCCTTCCTCCCCTTCATTCATTTCCTGCTATTATTTGTATCATATCTATTGCCTTCATTAAATTGTAAATTATCTTTGGTAGCAGAATGAAAATAATCTTCACAAATGGCTTCAAACTTCCTCTGAAGGAAAGAATTTTCTTTAGCATGAAAAATGCATATGCCACTTGGAACAGAATGTAAGGCCTTTAGTATAAAAAGTCAGAAATTTTTTAAAAAAAAAACTTCTTAGAAGAGTCAAGTAATAAAAGATGAATCACTTTGCTTTATAAATAAATATGAACTTGGGGATGGGGAAAGAGCAGAGAGAAAAGAAATGACAGGAAAGGGGATGAGAGAGTAATAAGGCAAAGATTTGAAGAAAAGTTTGAGAATAGCTTGTGTTGTTTCACTATAACTCTTTCTTCTCTCTCTTTTCTAAAACTTTTAGTAAACTTTATTACATTCAAATGCAGTATGTGTACATGCTTCTGGCCAATGGAATATAGTCACAGTGATAGGATAGCCACTCCCTTAATTAAGTTATATTATAGAAGACACAGACCACAGAGAGAGATTGTCCCATTGGCTTTGAAGAATACACTAACACATCATAAGGAACTGCGGCTGCCTTTTGGAGCTGACAGCCAGCAAGAAAATAGGATATCAATCCTACACCCACAGAAACTGAATTCCCTCAACAACCATATAAGCTTAGAAGAGGACCCTGACATGGACAGGAACATGGACCAGTTTACAGCTTAAATGAGGATGGTGAGACATTGAGCAGAGGGTAGATCTAAGCTGAGCCTGGTCTCCTGATTCCTCGAAACTGTAAGATAATAAATGTTTGCTTTTTAGCCTGCTAAATTTGTGGTGATTTGTTATGCAGTATAGAAAACCAATAGAGATTAGTGTGCATGAATGTGCTTGCATATTTATACTGAGACAAAGGATTGAGTTGCATGTCTGGTTCAACATGGCACAGAAGAGGGATCAGCAAAATGATCTTTGAGCCAAATAACTCAGCTGAAGCAGAAGTATAGTGGAATAGATGATCCTGACAACCTGGCCCTCCAAAAATTTGGAGAAATATTGTTATCTTTGTTTGGATTCCCTCAGATGCAGATTCTGAGACAAGAAAATAGTTGATTTAAAGGGTGATTCCAGTAGAACCAGGCTGAGGTTGAGTATCGCTTATTTGAACTGCTTTAGAACAGAAATGTTTCAGACTTTTATTTTTTGAATTTTGGAATATTTGGATATCATAATGAGACATCTTGGGGATGGGACCCAAGTCTAAATACAAAATTCATTTATGTTTCACATATACCTTATACACATAGCCTGAAGAAAATTTATACAATATTTTTATGTGTCTGCCTTTGACTACAACCCATTACATGAGGTCAGATGTGGAATTTTCCTCTTGTAGCGTCATGTTGGTGCTCAAGAAGTTTCAGAGGTTGGGTTTTTGGGTTGTGGATGCTCAATCCATAGTATTTAGGGGAATGAAACATGGAAGGGAAGGAGCCAAAAAAGTATCAAGCAAATTATCATTGTGGACAGCTGGAGCTTAATCTTTCTGAGAACGTTTGGAGGTGATGAAGAAAACTGCTTCAGAGTTATTCCATCTGAGAGGCAAGGGAATTGGGAAACTACGGTGAGCTGCCCACAGCCCCAGCTGTGGGCTGAGTGCTGCTTCTGAGTGTTAAGGAAGGTCAATACACCACACTTCTAACCTGACCCTCACATGCAGGTATCCCATCTAAACCTTTCCTCTAATTGATGAGTGTGTGTGTGCGTGTGTGTGTGTGTGTGTGTGTGTGTATCTGTGTCTCTCTCTCTCTGTGTATAAGCTACTCACTTGACTCTGTCAGGCACGTTACATGTATTTGTCTATTTAATTCTCCCAATACTCATTTTAGGTAGAAATTATTATATTTTACAAACATGAAAATCTCAACTTTTAATTAGCAACCTCCTAAAACAGTGGTGGCGAACCTATGGAATGCATGCTGCAGTGGGCAAGCAGAGCCCTCTCTGTCCGCACATGAGTGTAGTGTGAGTTGTTTTTTCTAAACTAAAACCTCAGTATTCAGGTTTAAATGCAGGGTTAGCACTTTGTGATAAATAAGTGGGTTCTGGGTTGCACTTTGTGTACTCAGTCTCTAAAAAGGTTCACCATCACTGTCCTAAGGTCAAAGAGCTACTAAGTGGCAGGTTAATCCAAGGAAGCTAGGTTCACCCAGGTTCACTAACAAACTTGGCCTTTTAACTATCTCACACTAACTCATCCTGCATAGGAAGTCCTCCTCCTATGGGCCTGGGCCTCAGTCCTGGTGGAAACTTTCCTCCCAGCACTTCTTCTCTGATTAAACTCAGGATGTAACGGAGCTCACTGTGCCTACTGCTGGTGCTCCCCACTATTACTGAAGGTATTTTTGTTTTTGTTCCATAAGCTTACATTCAAATGGTGCTGGAGTTGTTATGCTACTTTATGGTAGCGAAAGTTCAATTTGTCCTAGCAGAGAGAGGACTCAGGAGTCAAACACCAGCCAGAGAATTTGTAGAGCTGTGTGGAGCATTGCCTGGGGAACAAGGAATTTGTGTGAGGGTTTGTATTTTGAGGA